CTTAAAAAATATAATTTAATTACTTACACTTTCAATATCATATTTCAATAAAACAAATACTAATAAATTAAAATTTGGGTGAATTATACTTTGCACCAAATCCTACTTTGCCCCCTACACATGAAATCATGACAGTTAACTACTGTCACGACCCCAAACCGCCCCTAGTAGTTTGGTGCCGTGATGGCCAGTAATCCGAGATTACCGAAGGCTAACTTTCAAAATTCACACACAATCAGAGTGTAGATATAGGGTGCTCACAAATGCAGAAGCAATAATCTAAAATACAAGTGGTCCATAAGGGCAGTGCATAAGTCAAATGAAATGGCATACATCTCTTCATAGCTTTACAACTTGAATACAAATAGAAATGGAGTACAAAAATACATATTACATCTTGGTAAAAGGCTTCTCAAGCCAACATGTTCACAATACATAAACTTCAAGATTGCCGACATCCTGACAGCCGACATAACATGCATACAAAACACACATCTCGGCGTAGCCGACTTCTTGCTTGTTACCTACATACATACATAGGGAGGGTGAGCTTGGATACTCAGTGAATGGTATAAGTAATAAAGGGGTTAAATGAATGATCCCCGAGGTCTTTCAAAACAATACATAATATATCTTTGTCAAAACCATACTTATCATAGCTTGTACAAAACATGAGATAAATCTTGTTCATCAAACTTGATCTTACAAAACTTACATACTTAACATGCGTCAAATCTTAAAACATGGGGTGACAACATTCCGGACAAAACAAACAAAGGTGCCACAAAAGCTTAGAGTCCCCTGGCACGTACGGACTTCACATGTGTGCTACTAATGCTTATAGTCCCTTAGCACGCACGGACTTCACATGTGTGCTACTAATGCTTATAGTCCCTTAGCACGTACGGACTTCACATGTGTGCTACTAATGCTTATAGTCCCTTAGCACGTACGGACTTCACATGTGTGCTACTAATGCTTATAGTTCCTTAGCACGTACGGACTTCCGAAGATTGACATCAAAACAAAGCTTACTTGTTACATTGCCATCCAAAACAGAGTTTATACTTGATACATAAAATAGGGATATCATTCATGCTTAACAAATACTTTTATCAAAACAAGGCAAAGATTTATCAAAACCTTAAGAACATAACGTTATTAAGAATACCACTCACATTAGTTCTTGAGATGTCGGGATCAAGGCAAAGGTCCAAGTCCTACAACACATGGCAAAGCGTACTGAACATACTTCTCAAAACAAGTCTTACATGCATGAAATTAATCTCGGGAAAACATGCTGGAAGTCAAACACTGTTGTACATGTCAGGAAGACATGCGGGGTACCAACCAGGTCTTTGCCGAGGTCCCACACCTCTTGGCCGAGGTGTGGCTACCTAGGCCTCGGCATGCGGCTGCACGCCGAGGTGCGCACAAGACAAACTAAAAGTGTAATTGATCATGCAAGGTAGGACAAGGTGAGATACGATGCTTGGCCTAAGTGTGAGGTCTAGGTAAGAGTGATCTCGGCGACTACACCTCGAGAAGTGAAGTCTGGAGATCTGGGTTTCCACCCGTGAAGAATAGGAAGAACATGAACAAGAAGATCATGAAGAACATGAATGCTAAAATCATAACTTCTTTGTTACAAAATCTGAGGTTTCATGCAATGAGTTTGAAAACATGGACCTGGGTACCCATACTTGAAAATCATGTGAAAACAAACACAAAAACATGGATCTTGGCATGAGATTTCGGATCAAAACATAACTTTCCTTGAAGAACACATGAATGCTATTTTCTCTTTTTAAAACCGAATTTCAAAGCAATGCATGGCTTACAAATCATGTTCAATCATGCAATGCAATAACATAAACATAAAGAACGACGAGAGCAGATTAAGAATCTAACCTTAGAACGCGGATCTAACGGTTCGATCTCTAGAAATCAAGCTTAGAAATCCACTCTCCCTCAAGAACTCTTCTCCCTCTTCTAGAGCTTCTCTCTCTTCTTCAAAACAAGTATAGAAACAAAAGGATGGGTTTCTCTCTCTACTGGCTAACTTAACTCTCAGCTCGGACACGTGGCGACGGCTGGTTGGTTCTCCTCAAAAAGGTGATAGATTGACAAGACAAGACTATGACAAAGTGTATCTAACAAGCTACTCGGTAAGGCACTCCGGCAAGTGATGACGTCGGCTAACAACAAGACTTCGGCAGCTAAGGTGACAATGACCTCGGCTAAGAAGGACGACACTTGACTAAGCTGTGCCACACCTTGGCCTAGATGCGCCACACCTCGGTCTAGGTCATACCACTCCAGGACAAGGTCACTCAGGTGCAAAGGTAACATCTCGGCCTAGATAATACACATCTCGGCCTTGGTGATTCACACCTCGGCCTAGATAATGACATCTCGGCCAATATGTCTGGGCGAAGGTGGAGGTCAAACGAAGGGGTTCCAAGATACTTCTAGACTGAGGATGACCTCGGCTTGGAATGATCTAGGCGTAACATGACCTAGGCTTGGCATAACTTCGGCTAACATAACTTAGGCTTAACATCAAGGAAGGAGCAAAGCAAGCACACAACACTTAGACAAATCACATAGTCATCAGAACAAGGCATGGATCTTACTTAGGCAAAACAAGTCATAAACATACAAATGCGAGCTCAACGAGTCATAATCATACAAATGCTCATGAACATGACTAAGACATAAATATGGGTTGTTACAACGCTTTTGATTAGATCTCATTTTGATCTCTACATATGAAATTGTGATAGTCAAATCCCTTACACTTTTGATCAAATCTTACTTTCGTCCTACACAAGTGCCAATGTCTTCATTTTGTTACTTCATTGTCTCAATCTTTAACAGAATCTAGTCATGTGAAAAGAATGTGACTACGAAATGATGGTAAGAGAGGAAAATCATCCCTGACATTTTCTACCAATACACACATTGTCCCAAAATTTATATCAAATTATGACTATTAGGCTAAAGCAAAATTGCGAACAATTCAGAAGATGATCAAGAGTTTTGCGTAAATTGGAATCACAAAACTTTGTCTTTTACAGGAATACATTTTTGTTGTATATTCCTATTTTTTTTTTTCAATTTTTCTATTGCCTTTTTTTATTTTAAAAGTTCACTTTTTTTTCCTCTTCATCCCAATTTTTAGTATATGAACATATATATAACTCCCATATGCTTATCATGTAGGACAATGTATATTGGTAAAAAAATATAGATAATTTTCGTTTCTTATCCTCATGTCGTAGTCACATTCTTGTCATATAACTAGATTCTGTTAAAGATTTAAACAATGGAATAACAAAAATGGGACATTAACACTTGTTTATGGACTAAAGTGAGATTTTACCAAAAGTGCAAGTGAGATTTTGATCAAAAGCGCAGGGGGTTGACTATCATAATTTCATATATAGAGACTAAAATAAGATTTGTTGCAGAGTGTATGGGTGCTAACTATAATTTACCCTTAAAATTAATCCAAACTCACAATGAAAATTCAAAATATTGTAACCATAAAATTATTGGTATCATTATCAATATCGGATGATTATTCCACAAACACAAAACATATTTAAAAAGTCAAAATTTTCTCATTATCAAAATAAGGAGCAAATACGTATTAAAAATAAAAATAAAAAAATCTGACTTATGAATAAATAAGTCCAGTCAATAGGACTTACTGATAATTATTTCTTTAATCACTCAAGTATTGTTTGATTCACCAAAATGAAGATAAATTAAAATGAAATGATCATTCATTAGCCTCCTTATGGATGACCATTCTTTTATGATGAAGAATGATTATTCCACTTACAACATATTTTCTATCAAACCAAAAATAACATCAAAGTTTTAAACAGCCATTCCAACCCTTAAGACTGTAAAAACTCACTTCACTTTCATCTGATTTTTTACATTTACTTAGCAACTACAAGAAGCATAGTAGGTTTATGAATAAATTCACCCAGATTCATAAGTAGACATTCCAATCACTGCTGGAAATTATGTTTTTAGTGGCGTTTAAAAAACGCCGTTATAGCTATCAAAAACGCCGTTAATTGTTTTCGTGACGTTTCATATCAAACGTCGAAGATGCGGCCGTCGCTATAACTTTATGACGCTTTAAAAGCGTCGCCATATTTAGTATATGCGGCGTTTAAAAAAACGCCGCTAAATATGCTTCATAACAGTACAATGATGCCACACAACATTTAGCGACGTTTTGAAAACGTCGTGATAGATCTTTTTTATTTTAAAAATATAACCGTTGGCATCATCTATACTGACGTTTAAAAAGCGCCGTCATAGCTTCAAATTTTTTTTTTTTTTTTTATTGTACTAATTCTGTGAAATTTAACTAAAACAAAATACCTGTAATAAAGATGAAAAATATTCAATATATTAACTAAATTTAGGTAAACATAATACGAGATCAATTCATGCTTCTCAATATGCAAGAATATTTTGATTCCAAGATGAAATAACGTTAAACTAGTGCCTAGTGATAAGTTGAAAGTTATTACAAAACAAATCAACACAAAAAAGTGGGAGGGAAAAAACAGATCTATCACGTACCCTTTACAACTCGGCACAAAATAGATTGGCACAAAAAAAATCAAGATATTTTAAATTGCATGGATGAATGTCTGGCATAAAAAGAAGGGGGGAAAAAAGATCAACTGTATGCTATACAACACAATTGCAAGACCAATCATGTACTCTTTAGAACACTGGGAAGCAAGTTGAAGGCTTCATCCTCTTCTTCCAACTTCTTTTCCTGTTGACAAAAAAAATCCCAGGACTTAGTAAGAACTGATGGTGATAAAATAGTATCCAAATTCACATGTTTTGAGTTCCTATGCTGCCTTGACAAATTCACACTGCAGCTATGATGTGGTCAAATAACTATACCTCTGGATGATTTGTTATGACATCAATTGGTCCAACAGTTTAAATAAACCTTTACCAGTACAATTGATGGCAAAGGATGATCTAGGATAGAGTGTTTCAGCATTTCCATCTTTTATCCTGAGTGTTAAAAATCATACAATAAGGATACTCTTATGCAAATATAGTATAAAGCTACAAAAGATATTAATACCCTTGTAGAAGCCAAAGTAGTGCAGTTGTGTACGCCAGGTATGCTTCGATTCAAAAGAGTATTCCCAAAGTCTATATACTGCAAATTCCTAAGGTTTCCTAGTTCCAGTGGAATTTGACTGGAAAGAGCATTATCACAAATAGTACTGAAATAATTCATTTTGGTGGTCGTTTCCCCTGTTGGAAGAAATAGAGAAATCTAAAAGCCTTACCCAAAAAAGGAGAAATTAAAAAGGGAAAAAGTCGTCATCCCTAATTTAAAAGAGTATTCCCAAAGTCTATATAGGTCAGTTTCTAATTATTGATGGCCACTACTGAATGTGTGTGTGTGTGTGTGTGTGTGTGTGTGTGTGTGTGTGAGAGAGAGAGAGAGAGAGAGAGAGAGAGAAAGAAAGAATGAGAGAGAAACACTAATAAATTCTCAGCATTTGCATGATAGGGACCTGAAATCATTGTGTGAGAATTTTGGATTCTATGATTCTGAATGGGACAACAACTAACTACTAAGTAATATATATTCAAATGAAAGCTCTCTGTTAGACTATTACTAGGTGGATTAATGCATGATAGGGACCTAGGATTCTAGGACTCTATTTGCTATTGTTTACTATTGAATAAATAAAAGAGGCCTCAAAAAAACAGGGGCAAAAAAAAAACAAGGGCTGGGCTGAAGTCACCTTCTTGTTGCTGCAAAAAACAGATGAAATCAACTTCAACAAAAGGGAGGAAATCGACTTCGAGTGGCTCTTCTTGCTGCACTGTAGAAAAGAAGAAAATAAAAAATGTAAAAAACCAAGAAGAAGAATCAAAGAAGAAATGAAGAATAAAAACGATGAAGAAGAAGAATCGAACAAAGGACACTCACCGGAATTTACTCAATGTGTAGCAGTTTGGGCTTGGTTGTAAGAGTAACTAGGTTAGGTTTGTTATTTTGAAGTGTGTGTTTGAAGATTGGCTTGTGCAAGTTGTTCCATTACACAAAGGCAAAACTGCAAATGTGCCTGAAAGATTGAAAAATAGAAAAGTCATTTGAAATTCTAAATTTGCTTTCCTCCTAACAGAAGAGTTTCAAGCTGTCAACTTTCACTTTCTATAAATATAGTTTATAAAAAGGCATTCAGCTTTCTCAAACATCATGTGTTGTGTTCCAAAAAAAAAAAATCATGTGTTGTGGCAAAAATTGTTCCCTACTGAAACTCTACTTCAGTAACACAATTTACTATTGTATCTATCAATAAGTGCTCTTTTGACATAAAAATCTATAATTACTCTGACAATAAAAAAAAAAATTCAAGAATCACAACTAAACACTGCATTGAATTCCAGCCGGATCTTGGTTCCTTGTCCTCACAGAATGATATCCTCCTGTACACTAACATTAAGGGTCTAGTTTGGGAGCACGATGCTGTTAGTCACCATGACTTCATCTTCAACTGTCACAGCTTCTCCTGCATCAGAGAGAAAAACCCATTATTATGAGATGGCATTCTGCTTCGGACACACGAGGCATGAGAAGGATAGGGTGATTACCAAGGATGGTGATTCCAAGCTTGGCATTGTAGTCTCCTTCAGATTGAACCACAAAATCAAAAGTAGGGCCAGTTGTAAAAACTAGAAAGAATACACAAAGATTTGATCACACCAAGTATCAATACGTTTTTTAGCTTCAGTTGTCACAACAGATCGCCACTATTGGACTTGGGAAATCTTTTAAAATGCCCGGGATGATAGAATCATTAAAATTTACAAGTGGCAACAAATTATTGACAAAGAGACAAAAAAATCTAGCATGTCAAGAGCTTCAATATATTGACATGTCAAAGACATTTAGAAGCTTTAACTTAATACCACACTGATAAAAAAGGAGAATCAATTGGCACTTTTAGGAATATCAAATACTTTCAGAACAGTGAAAATGTGATCAAGCTTACCTAGGCACGCGACCATTTCCCAATAGATGATTTCCTTCCAACAATAGCATGCATAACTACTGCATTTTCCTGTCAGGAGATTATTAACATATTAATCTCAGGTCTTAGGTGTAACTGTTCTATAACGTTTTTCAACTCCTTACCTTTATTTAAACATCATCTAAGATGATGCAACTTATAAGCCTTACACCTGCTGCTATACGAACATTTGCTGAGATTGAAACATTAGGGCCAATCTGTTTAAATGAAAATGAACAAATTTAAATATACATAATGGGAAAGAAAGGCTGAAAATCATGGAAAATATCCAATTCAGGATTCAAAACTATTTTCAACATTCGGCATGGGTTTCAAAAATACTTGAAAAAGCACAGAAAGATAACCAATACTGTTGAGCAATGTGAAACAACTATTGGAAAGAGATGAGACAAAATTACCTTAGCAGTTGGATGTATTTTTGCAGATGGACGAACATAAACATCACCTTAATTAATTTCCTACTAGCAGCCAAAAACTTCAATTTCACTGACAATGATCGTCTGAAGTTTGGAGGAGCCCAGTATTGTTCCTACGAAGGAAAAAACAATAATCACTATTGGAATGAATATAGAAAAAAGAGGTGAAGGTCAAATCTTATATTAAAACAATGTCTTAGAAAGTATTGGCATGATTAAAAATAGCCCTTGGCAGAGTAGAATGACAAAAAAATATTCATGTATCCGACACAAGGCTTAGTTTGGTTTGGTTTGGTTTATCAGGTACGTGTGCACAGGGTAGAGGCATGCAAACACAAGGTGTTACCCTAAGAAGCATGGACACTTCTAAAAAGGTAACGTATCATGTTTGATACCAACATGACATGACACTCATCAGATACTTCCTAACACTATATACATGAACACAATACAAGTTTGAATGAAATAGCTTGGAATCCAATAATAAAAACAAAAGCAATGTAAATTTATACTTATTTTCCTTCTTTAAACTCTAAAAACTATTATCTTTGACTTAAATGTATTCATATACATGCCGTATAATAATTATTTATCCTAATAATAAATATGTGTTACTTTCTCTCTTAGCCAAAAGTATGACATGCCAAAATCCTGAACTCAGACCAACTTTGTACCTGAATTTTATTTCCTTTTATAAATTCAAAGAAAACCAATAGAAAGTGTATTATGAAACTGAGTTCTTAAGGAAATTAGCCAATTTTAAAGTGTTTACCAATTTTTTTTCACCTTAACTCATTTCAGTGTGAAAAATCCAGATACAGCCAAATAGTCATCAAACATTCAGATTTGCCAGCCAAAGTAGAGTGAATGTCATGAAGCATGTTAATGAAATGAGAGCCATGTTGATTTCCGTACCTTGCTAACTTCAAGTGCAGATTGAATGACATAGTTGGCAAAAGGGTCTTGCAGCAACTGTTCAAAGTGAGGCACTGAAAGCAATTCATGGATGATTCTTGGACGGCTCTCTTCAAAATGTTTGAGGCATTTTTCAACAACATGACTGCTGAATTTTTGCATCGAGAGGTGCACATAGTGCCCTTCAAACTGAGAAATCAAGCCGGCAGCAGCTAAAGGGATCTCCTGTATAACGTATTGGACAACATAATTTCTGGGATCCAAAAAAAAACAAGCATTCAATTCAAAACAAAATATTAAAATATGCCATGAAGCCAAATACAAATAATTAAAGCAACCATCACAAGACCAAATTACTTCTAATGAGATACAGAGGTAGAGGGGTAGAGGTTTATACGGATGTACATAGTGCAAGAAAATGATAAAAATTAACTGCTGACATATACACGAACAATTAATATTCACAGCTATAAGAAAGCAGTGCGTAACTTCATTTCTAACTTGCAAATTGTCGTAACAGTTGTCACAAAAATACATAGCATGTACTACAAAAATGCAGTTGAGGTGATTTCTCATTTCCCTGAGAATAGTGACTTAGAGTGGAGTCGTAGAGAAAGGTGAGCAATGAATGTTAGAGACTCTCAACCTATTGGTCTTGTTAGGGATGTGTATAAATTGTTGCTTCAATGCTAGGTTGAAATTATGGAAGGTGATGAACTGTGCACCCTGGAGATTAGTCGGGTTTTGATCCGGATACCCCAGTGCCATTCAAAAAATAAAATAAAAAATTATGAAAGGTGATGACAAATTTATAGGGTGTCTTTTTTGAGAAATTTGTACACTCTATATTCATTTATTTAGTTTTGGTTGATAGGAATGTGCAATTCACTGGTAGCAGGTAAGGCAACCCACAAAAAATGTTGTGTAAGTAGATAGAACAAGCATACTACCTACATAAAACCAGAGTCTTATTCCTTCAGAAAATTGGCAAAAGAATTGTTGCATATTGAGGATTTTTGTATTACCCAAAATGTGGTCAGATAGACCTTTATATTCCTTAATTTGGGAAAACATGCAGCC